AGAAAGCGAGTGTTGTTTTTTTCTGTGTAGTGGAATTACCAGGGACACAGTAGTATGAATTTTGCTAGTTTGCCTCAGGTAGCTTTTATTATAATAAATAAATTAGAATTGCCACCTCTAAAGGGCCAGATGGCTGTCAATTAGATTATTTCATGCGAGCCCTTGATTTCTTCAGTAGAAGGATCAGTGCAGCGCAACAGAAATTTGAGCTGCTCCAAAGTGGACAAGTTTGAGTAACAGCACTGCATGTAACCAAGGCATTTAAAGTAATCACGGATGTTTCTGTACTGCAGTGCAGCAGGCAGGATAAAACTTGGCTTGCCACATTTATTCATGATCTTCAGTGTATGTTTGCATCGGAAAAGCTGTGTGGCTTTTCCTTCTAATAAATGAATGCATAGTTCATTGGAAAGTAGAATCGTATTCTGGTTTGCTGTGCATGTAGATCAGCAAGTTTTATTAATTTCCTACTTAAATGTTTGACTGCTTACTTCTTCTAAAAAATCAATCAAACAAAAGAAATTGCTATTTTGCTTTCTTGCGTACTAAGAAGACAGGACTATCTAGGCATATTATTTAGGCTGTAGTTCCAATTCATAATCCGCTTGAAAAAAAATGATTTCTTAGGTTTAAATTGTGTATTTATAAATAAAACTGGAAAAATAATCCCACTTGTTCAGTAATTTGCGCTTTTGTGGAGAAAAAAAATTAAAATTTTATTTATAGCTTCTTACTCTAACTAGATGTCATGCTTTATCGTGTTTCTAATATGTTAATAAGTTCTCAAGTACCAAGAATATATTGAAACATTTGTGTAAAAGAAGAAACTAAACTAAACTAAAAATATTAATAATAAAGAAATTATTTCAGAAATTCTTTTAGATTTTTCTCCATTTGGAAATTGTGTCCTAAATGGTGTAAAAGCATATGCTGTACGTGCTGAAAAGTGATGACAGCACTGTAAGTAAAGTTTAAACAGTAGTTATTTCTGATTTTTCCCCTCACAGCTTTTTTTTATTTTTTGAAAGCATCTTTTGGCAGAGAGTGCACATTATTACTGGCATTCAAACTATCCACAGTCAACCCTCTTTTTTTTTCCCTGTCAAAAAATTACATTTCTCCCCTTACATAATGAGTAAACCCAAGAATGTTTTGGACCATGTTATTTACAAATTCCCCTTTCCTCGAGGCAGCAGAGATTTAATTCCCATGGCTGCTGGGGGCATCCTTACAGCCCTCCTGCTGCGGGTGCAATTATGATTGCACCTTTGGGGATCAAGTCATTTAGACAAACTACGGACTTGTGACCTGCTCACCACGTGTAACTTGCCTTCTTCTCCACTCCCAGTGTCTGAGCAGTGAATCCGATCACAAGCTAATCTGTTTGGTGATGATAATATATGGGGAAGGAGTATGTTTTCAGGAAGGTTTTTTTATTTCAGGTTGGTTTTCTGCATGAGCACGGGAGGGAAGATGAGGAGATAGTGAATGGGGGCCACTGATAGGGCACTGCTGCCAGAGTAACGCATGTGTCACTGCAGCCAAAGTGTTGACATCTTCTGATCTCTGGAGGCATCCTGGCATCCAGCCGAGAGCTCGAGAAGGCAACCAGAGTTGACTGTAATTATTAGCAGTGGAGTGGACTTATTTTAAGGTGTTTACAGTAAGAAAGGGATGGGGATGTGTAAGGTTGAACTGTCCAGGCTAATAAAAATCACCAGTGTGAAAAAAAGGGTTCAGGAAAATTGCTGCAGAAAGGTATGTTATTGCTGTTTAAACAAAAAAGCAAAACCCACCACTTTTCAACCTGGAAAGTTGAGAGAGAAATACTGATAAGTTTTAAATTTCTGTAAGATCATTAAAAATGCACTTAAATTCTATCGGTTAAATAAGATGTTGGGGTTTAGATTCTTCTGGTTCCACTCAGGTTCTAAAAAGATGCACTAAACTTTCATTTCATATTTATTAAATGCTTGATTTCTTTTGTGAGACGAAAGATAGATATTTAAGACTAATTGTTAATTTACATAAGATTTTTCTTTTAAGCTGCATAGGCTTTGCTGTTGACTTTACTTAAAATATAGATGATCTCATTTCATTGCCTGAAAAAATTTTTAATAAAATCATGCTCCTATCAAATTAAACACAACCTTGAAGTCAGAGAGATTTATGTAGGATCGGGATTTTAAATGTCTGAAATGCCAGAATTAAGGAGGTTTTTTCACAGGCTTGTATTTCTTTTAATCAAGTGTTTATAGAGAGTAGTTCTTTGTGAAACTCAGAGTTATTTTCACAAAACGAAGAGAACTGCCTGGTGGTGACCTCTCCTAAATGAGCAATTCAGGGTTATCAAATCAGACAGCAAGGGACTGGAGGAACCAAGGATCACACAGGGTACAGCCATTACCCATTAGTATAACTCCACATTAATTTTAAATTGAATTTTTAAAACCTAATTGAGCAGCATTTTCAAGCTCTGTTCAGTGTGAGCAGGACATAAATTGAAACAGTATGTACCAGGAACCCTTAATAAGCAGAGAGCACTGCTGCCTTTCTTCCCTCTCCTTTAAAATCAGTAGTAATGCCCTGACATTAAAAAGAAGAATTTAATTAAGAGATCGTGACAGTGCATCTGAACTCTGACTGGCTAATGGCTTTCCAGTGTAAGGGATATATGCTGAAATGAATGGAGGGTATTTTCTTTAACATTCAGTTTTAGATGAGAACTCTTTTCTGTTTGAACTTTTCATCATTTTAGTGATGGAAAAATATTTTAATGGATAAGCTGTACATGAAGAAAGACTTTGAAAATGTAGTTGTGCAGTTGGATTACCAAGAAACAAATTCTAATACACAGAAATTAGAGCAACTACTTCAGACCTTGTAAGATAATGTGGTAGGAAATCACTGATGTAAATAGAAAAGAAAATCCTAGGTGTTGTTGATCTAGAACTGTGAAGCTTGTTACATCTATTTTGATTAATTTCTCTGAAAGTGCATTAATATTTCGTTTTAAGTAAGAGCACAATTCACTTTGTTTCTCAACATGAAGCATGCAGATGAGCTTAAGTAAGCAAATTCTGAGCTTCAGAGTGTAAATTATTTTGTATAGCAAGCTTGGATGTGCTCCTCTGCTGCAGACTAAGCGCTTGGCATTCCAATTTAGAGATTATTGAAAGAGAGTCCTTTATTTTAGAAAACTCTCTAATATTTATTTTTCCCTTCATAGCAGAGCAAGAATGACTGCATTACATAGGTTACTCGTCAAGTTTGAAAATCATCCCTGTGATAAGCAGGCTTGTGTTGGTTATGGGAGGATGACAGTTTTAGGGAGAAGCAATGAGAGTAGCTTTTGGAAGTGTCTCATGTGCCATTTTTTTTTTGGAGATCTGTTTTCATTCGTGGTATCTCATTGTCCTTTCTGTCCCAGCCCTGCAAACAGAGCTTATCCCTGGGGAGTCACTCCCTGTTCCTCAGGGAAAACTAGATGGTATCTTCTTGAAGTGAGAAAGTCACACCAATAAACCTGATGTTGTTAAAGGTGATGGCATGGTCTTTGTAGTGGAATAAGAGTGACTGAAATCTGCCTGGTTGGTATAAATGAAATTCATCTGTTTAAACATTTTAATAGTTAAAATGAATGCTTGTTTTGGTGAGTTTGAAATGGTGCTGAAACCCTGGCTAATTATCACAAAGCTCTTTAGAAAGACTAACCTAAGATGCTAAAATGACAAAGGGTAGTTGTAGAATTGTTGCCCGTAAACAAAGACACAAACCAACAAAGTGCAACAGAATGAAGAGTTTGTCACTACTGTGACAGGAGGCTGGCTGATATACACATACAGCATTAACTCATTTCCTTTTTCTCCTCTTTGTGTTTTGCCCCAGGCGTTCAGGTTATTAAATTCTGTGGCTCGGCAGTAGCACTTCTGGTGTTAGAAAGCTTGGAGTTTAAGACCTCAATGAAGTTTCTCATTCCAGGGGTTGATTAGAGCTAAAAATGTCCACAGAGGTCACATTTTGCTATGTATCGAGCAGAATGGATGGTTATAAGCAAATGCTGGCAGCTTTCGAGGGACTGAGCAATGCTGGGTGATCAGAAACTATCCTGGTCAGGGAATAACATGCAATTGATCCTTGGGAGAGAGCAGTGACATCACTTGTTCATTTGGTGCGTGTTTCTGGGGTTGTTTTTAATGATGACTTTTGGTGGAGGGTCTGTTTTTCTATTGAAATCAAAATTGAACATTTAATGTGAATGATTACAAGAAAAAAGGATCCCACGAGAGCTCAGACTATTTCTACCTTACTGACCTTTCACCCTGCCCCACAGCTCCGCACAGATTAAATTTTTCAGTGATTTGTGGTAGCTATGATTTTTTAAGAACTCTTTAAGTTCCTTCCTTTAAATGAGATCTGTGTTATTCCTCTTTGAGCTTCCTGCCCTCCACCTTCTATTTCAACTAGCTTTAGATGGATAGGTGGTGCTTAGTATAACAAAGGTAAAATTTTAGAAGGTATTGAACTTGGACAGATAAAAAGTAGCATTAAAAAGGAAACATTGGTTGGTTGGTGGAAAAGCTGTTGAAAACCTGTGAAATCCCTCAATGCCAGGTTTGTTTAAATACTTCTTACAATATACCCAGTGTATCTGTTATATATCTCCTTAAAGTTGAATGAATTTTCTTAAAAGTACAACTGCTGCTGCTGGGCTCCCCAGGATGATTCCAGCTATGAGGCAGTGGCAGTTGAGTATGTTGTGGTCATGTTTTGGGCCAGTGCAAAATCCTGGCGGTGCTTTTCACCCTCAAACTTTATTCTGAAATGTGTTTGAGTACTGCTTGTTTCTTGATGGGACCTCAGTATTGAGCTTTTCTACCATGGAAATGCAGCATGGGCTGAATGCATTTGAGGTTTTGTTTTGTGTGTATTCTTTGTACGATGATAATGAAATGTCTTTTATATCCTTATAACTCTACCTTGGTTACTCTTATTTTCAGAGAAGAAACGGGGAAGATATTCCAGTTGCTCAGACTAAAAATATCAATCATAGAAGATTTGCTGCTACCTTTAAGTTACAAGAGGTGACAAAAACTGACCAGGATTTATATCGCTGTGTAACTCAATCAGAGAGAGGTTCTGGAGTGTCAAATTTTGCTCAACTTATTGTTCGAGGTAACGTTTTAATTGCTTTCATTTTATCCAGTTAAATGCTCCTAATACCAGTGCTTTCAACTTACGCTTTTTAATTAGCCTGCATATGCCTTGATCTGAAACGATCATACAAGGGTAGCCCTGTGAAATTGTCATAAAATGAAAGAGTGGTTTGCAAAGCTTCTTACAATTGCTTTCTACAGAATACATCTGTGTAAAACCCTGTTCCTGCATAACATTGAGTGTAATGTTCCTGCCTGGTTTTCTGTGGATGCTATTTTTTGAGCTTAAGGTGCAAACTGCTTAACTTTTAATAAATAATTTTACAGGTATGAGATTCCACTATACTTAGTTGCCATTCCCTTTTAAAATCTGTTGCTTTGGGCAGACCAGTAGTGTAGATCAAATAATTCATTTTTCTGTTACCTGGGAGACAGGTGTATAGAAAGAGTTGTGAAGTTTCACCTACTGGCAGACTGGGAGCATTGTGGAGATGTTCTGTGATGATTTCCAGTACAGAAGTAGGAGGAAGAAAAAGAAAAAAAACTTGCTTTTTCCACTTGTAATACTGTTTTTTTGGTTATACTTCATTCAGAAGCAACCATACACTGTGTATGGTGCTATTTGGGTTAGTGATTTTTGTATTTATGCATTTTGTGTTCTGGAAGCATGTAATATCAACTGGCAAAGGATATGGTTGAGCACAGGAGTTCAGTTTTAATTTCCAAATGTGTGTGCTGTATGAACTGGGATAAACTATTGAACCTCTCCTTACCTAATTGTGTCACCTGCAAAATTGCCCATTTCATTCTTAGTTGTGATGAGGCTTAATGTTTTTGAAGTGGGAAAAAGAAGTGGTGTACAAAATCTGCCTGTGGTGCTACTGGCTAGTGGAGGAGCTGTTTTGACCCAGTAAGTGCAGGGGTCAGACGCACAGTGGGCTCCTGCTTGATTCATTTGAGGAGTGGCTGAGGACACTTGGTCTGTTTAGCCTGGAGGAGACTGAGGGGAGATCTCAACACAGTCTACAACTTCATCATGAGGGGAAGAGGAGGGGCAGGCACTGATCTCTTCTCTATGGTGACCAGTGACAGTACCCAAGGGAATGGCCAGAAGTTGTGTCAGGGGAGGTTTAGGTTGGATGTTTGAAAAAGGTTCTTCACCCAGGAGGTGGCTGGGCACTGGAACAGGCTCTCCAGGGAAGTTGTCACAGCACCAAATTGGCCAGAGTTCAGAAATTGTTTGGACGATACTCTCAGGCACATGATGTGTGGCATCTTGGGGATGGTCCTGTGCAGGGCTAAGGATTGGACATTGGTCCTTGTGGGTCTCTTCCAACTCAGCATATTCTGTGACTTTGTGATTCTGTGATTCGTTGGTCAAGCAATGGGCTGTTTGGTCAGTTCAGCATCTTGGAGTCAGACACTGCATCTGGAGCTGGAACAGAGAAAGCAAGTTTGTCCTCAGCTTATAGAAATAAAAGTAATGTAGAAGATGCTCCAACATATTTGGTATCTGGCATTTGCTGGCAGAGATCTTTTCCTTTGGAGATCAGTTGATTGAGGTCAACTAGGTTTTTTGCCTTCTATATAACATAAATAAACACAGGCTTTGCTGACCATACAAAGATTTAGACAATATGATAAGAGCTTCTTTTATTCTCTTAGATATACCATTTTTCTAGTAAAGTGCAGGATGGTCTTCATCCTAATAAAATGAAATAAGTCCCGTTGCAGCATGAAAACAGACTTTTGTTCTTAGAAACACAAGGCAAATCAATGTATTTATCCAATAAATGAAGTTTTCTGTTTTTTCTGGAATAATAGAGCAATGGTGTTTAGAACACTATTTCTCTCTCAAAAAAAAATGAGGTAAGAATATAAATTTTCATAATACCCTCATTTTAAATGCATCATATTGTCATGCTGGAAAACGTAGGTAATTCCAGAGATAATACTATATTTATGGCTTAAAACATAAATATTATATCTCTATATAACAACTATATAGGTTTGTATTTTACAGGTAATTTTACTTTTTGTGTGCTTTTTGGATTGAAAGTCCAAGAATTTTAAATATATATATATATAAATATATATATAAACTAAAATATTAACCTTCCAAAAATATTTTCATCTGTTTGACAACATGGTAGAGAACAAAGATATGCATCTTATACTATGATTTATTGCTTACTCTTGTATTTGAAAAGCAATATACAGTAATACATTTTCTTGTTTGTCTGGATAACCACTAAATAAATCTTGTTAGCCAAAAAAGCATACCCATACCCTTAGGGATCAGCTACCCTGGTGTTAAAACTGTACTGAAAATTAACCATAATGACAGGTCCTATATCTCAGTGGCACTTTAAAGCTGACATCCTGCTACATGGATACAAAAGATGATAATTTTAAAGGAAATTTTTGGGCCACTGATATGAATTGCCTTTAATAAGAGCTGGCATAGTATTGCCCATTGTCAAAGATGACCCAGGGGGAAGAGTTTATTAGTGCATTTCCTTCTAAACTGGAAGTGACAGAGCATGCTTGGGGGCCTTTTGTTGCTGTTTGTAACAAATGAAAATTTTGCTGCAGAATTCTCATGCTGAAGAGTATTGATCTGTGTGTTCTCACAGCCAGAGGAGGGGAAAAAAACCATGAAACACAAATTACTTTGTCATGGCTTTAGTATTGCTTCCAGATAATTTTGAGTAACGATAAGGTCTTTGGTTTGTGGAAGCCAAACTTCATTGACAACACTGGTTACTAGAGGGCAAGGGATGAGGAACAGGAGTTTTTGCCCAGTAAATCAAAACCTTGGTGTTTAGATGCGTAGCCAAGATGCTTACATATCCCACATCTGAACAGACATGTGGTACCATAATATGGAGGTAGAGGCATCTGATACTTTCCTAATCAGCAGACTAGAAGTTAGTCTTGGTAATGAAAATTTCCAGTTATAATGTACATTATGTTGAAACATCACTATTTCATTTTGAGCTTTAACAGAAGAATTGCTTCTAGTGGAGTTCTAAACTCTATTACAAATGTAGTTACCTGGGAGGGATGGTATGCATTTAAAGACCCTGAAAGGCATAACTCAATTACTCTGATTAGTTTTTTAAAGAAGAATTGAGCTAGGATAGGATTTGTAATTCAATTATGAGATTTTTACCAAAAGTAGTTCCATCAATGATTTAATGTCTCACCTTTGCTTAGAGCTGGTCTTCAACTCCAAGCTCAGTGGCTGCATTGTATTGATTTTTTTTTTACATGGTTTCTTTGGCATTGCTGTCATTCTGGGAGACGAGAAGAAGGAGTTCTCCCTTTCCCCTTCCTTTTACAGGAAATTTGGTGCTGTTATTACTGTTATTTGACTTTACCCTCCTGAATAGGTCCATCTGATTAATTGTCTATTTATATTTTCCCTTGTTGGCTGATAAATTGGCAATTTCTGGGAAGGGAGTTTGTTGAAGACTTTAGGGTTGAATGCACTGGAACTCGAAGGAGGGACTGGGAGGGAGGAACAGTATCTGTGATAGGTAAGTAAGAGTGAATAGGTAGACACTGACAGTTTCTTTCTTTTTGCTTATTTCTTACTTGGTTTTGAGAACAAGTGTATCATGGTCTCAGTCTTTTTGCTCACTTAAGGTGGACTTGTAGAAATTATGTTTCCAAAGAGATCATCTGTGCCCCGCTCGTGTATACTTGATGTACAAAATTGTGTAGACTTTCCAAGTTACGGTATCAAATGTCCTGATCTTCAATCAGTTGAGAACTTTGCCCTGTAATCAACACTTGTACAGTTTCATTGTTCAAATCTCTTAAAAATGTAGTGGAATATTTCTCTGTAGTTGGCAGTATGTGCCAGAAAAGTTATCCTATGCATCAAGAAACCAGGTAGTGTCCAATGCAGCAGCTGTGATCAACTTCTTAGTTGATGTGACATGTTAAAAGTGGCTCTCAGATGGAGATGCAACTGATGTTGCGTTCTTATGTGGTTAGTTAGCAAAACTTTGTAAAATAATCCAAATTCAGTTTGTCTCCATTTGGAATGTCTTACTCTTGGGCAGTCCTGCAGGGATGATGAACAAATTAACCATTTTCTTTGGCTGAAGGATGCGGGTGATAAGTCTCTTTTTTTTTTTCATGGAATAGCAATTTGTTGCTCTGATTGCCCAAAAAAAAAAAAAAGGCAAACCACTCTCTTAAATATGAATTACACTTTATGTGCAGTGTTTGTATACTTCCCAAGTTTGTTTTCCTTTAAATGCTACACATTGTTAGCAAACTAATTGTATGAGACTTGATATTATGATATTAAATGCTGCAAAATCAGCAGGAAATGTGATGCATTTTATTTTACATAGATGAGTCGGAAAAAAATATTCGTTAGTGTTAAAGACAAGATAGAAAAATAAAGGGAAAAAAGCTCAAAATGTATGAATAAGTGCAATATTTGTTAATAATCTGTAAATAATTCTATCATATGTCTGATTCTACTGATAAGTTTATAAGTTTTATCTGAGTCATAAATTGCTATTTTTTATGTTTTTGCTAGGTGAATTTTTTTCTTTTTAACATTTCTTTGTCCAACCCAAATAGGTCTTCTGTGATGGTGTTAAGCAGGGCAGGTCTACACCTTGATTTATAGTTCCAATATGGAATTGTCTTCATGTGCCTGGTAAATCCAGTTTAACAACAGAAAAGAAGGGCAGTTTTCCTCTACTGTCTTCTGACTGTTTTTCCAGTAATCATAGGTTCTGGTGAACTGACCTGTTTGTAGGAGTTTATGAATATGATTGTTTCTTCTATTTGATTTGATATGGCAAGCAATCATCAGGTTCAAGTTTTGGTGGAGTTTGTGAATATGTTCTTCTTTGTTTGCCTTACTGGACCTAGTTTGTCATCAACAGCAGTTCTTGTTATGCAAGCCTGGCATTGATTTTTCTACCTTTTTCGTCTGAAATCCCTTTAGGGATTTTGTATAGGAAAGCCAGCAATTTGGCTGGTTCCCCG